TGAATCTACTGGAATGCGACAAAAATTTAATCATTTAAAATAGGTGACAAAAGTACTGAAATTATATTTATTTTTTGTGAAGGATTTTTTTTCTCGGTGTATTACGCAGTTTTTCTCGGTGTTTAATCGAATTATGGTTTCAGCCCTTTAGATTCTATGAAACAATACTATTACCTTTTTATTAGATTTTTAAAAGAATTTTGTTGAAAAATAATTCTCCCAAAAAAATATGTGTTGTGGTGGTATTGCGGTACAGTGGAAAAAATTGAGCCCATACATATTAATTTCAACAATAATAGTAGAGGAATTGTATTACATAGGGAAATAATAATTGTATTGGTATAACAATTAGATGATTATTGAATACTGACGCATATTTTGTTATATAATGTCGCGATTGTAAACGTCTCATTCGTAAATATTCGTTCGTGATTCTATTGCATATCCAAAGCGGCATAAATTGTCAGATCGTTTTGAGAGGTCAGTTCATTTTAAAGTAGTTTGCGTTAAAAATGTAATTCCTTTAAATTTAACTTAAAGTAATTCCTTTAAATTAAAGTAAGAGCCTTTAAAAGTCCTCAGTAATTAAAAAAATTCTATAACGTAATATGGACAATTTTTTACAATAATTTCACCTCACAATAATTTTATAATTTTTTCTAATATTTTTTTAAAATTATTTTAGCTCCTATTCAAATTCTAAAAAAATTGTTTTCTATTTTAGCAAAAATTTATTTTTAAAATTTTACAATGCTACTCGTATTGTAACGAGAAAAAAATTTCTTTAAATCAGGAAGAGACTTTATGTACAAAAAAAAGCAAAAAAATAAAAAATTATTTATTATTACATATTTTTGATTTAAATTTAAATCACCATTTTTAATACAAGACAAAAAGTCATTATTTTTCAACCACAAACAAACCAAAAAAAAAATGAGAAAAATTAAAATTTTCAACGTTTTCCAAGAGTTGACCATTAAATAGAACAAAATTTTCCTGTCTTTTCTTATTATTTTTTTTTTGTTTTCTTTTTATATTTTCTTTTTTTCTATTACAAAAAATACAAATTATTATTGTTAACTACATTACACGGTTGTGGTGTTACCGTCAGTCGCTAAAATTCTGAAAATATTTCTTCCTCAAAAATATATTTGTAATGATATTTTCTATACATACATACATGCGTAAATGTAGCCAGGGATGGTAAAAAATTTTAAAATATTAAGGTGGGCGATTAAATTTTTGTATAATAATAATTATATTTGAACCATAAATCAATTTATTTAGATAGCAATACTTTAATTATACGAAGTAAAATTTAGTAAAATTTAAATACAACAAAATAAATAAATGTATAATAAGAAAATACTTTGACAATTAATTGAGGTAAGAGCTAATTATATTTAATTTTAAATTTTATTACCATAAAGAAATTTGAAATCGGGTTTGAAATTTGATTTCTTAGGTTTTGTTTTATTGCATTTGAATAACTATTTAATGTCATAAATAAATGACATTTCATAATGTCATCGGACATCCGAAATATAAATAGCGTTTTTAAATTTTTTATATTAATTGAATTTATTCTATTCATTAGAAGTGTGGTTTCAAAAATTTAATAAATTTACGCCATATGTGATATCATGTGCTATATGTGATATCATGTGATATCATGTACTGTATGTCATATAATGTGATACCACAACTATCATGTGATGTCACAACTACATGTGATATTCTACAGGTGTATCAGCATTTTATCGCACAGCAAGAGAACGATAAGGATATTGGAACTTGAGACATCTGCTTCCAGAAAGCAGGTGATTTTTCAACGAGATGGGGTAATCGTTCGAAATTGACCAGATTTCGATTCCGGGTTGTAATGGAATCCAAGGAATGGCAGAACGAATGAGTTCGTGAGGTATGGAAGGACTCTTGAGGCCTTGCCTGAAAAAAAGATATGGAGATCTAGCGTTATCATAACAGGCCTAAGTGATCCTTTGATAGTCGCGTCAATCTAACCTAACCGACGCCCAAGTATTTTAAATGTAAGCAAGAATTTTGTTGAAAATATTTACAAATAAATAACATAAAATTCAATTATCGATTAATCTGAAAATTTGTTTTTGTAAAATTGTAAATTTTAAATTCTCTATATTATTTGGTTTCTCTATATTATTAGAAAAAATGTCAGCATAATTTTTTTTTTCCTAAAAATAAAATTTTTTAATACGAAAAATTGTCTATGTATGTACATGTACGTATGTAAAACAAAATAAATAACCAAAATTTTAATTATTTATTAATGTTCTGCTGAAAATCTTGATTCTGATGGTCACCTAACTATACTACACTAATTTATATGAATTGCACTTTTTCTAGTACATACACACAAATAAATAAAAATATAAATATTAAAATTTTTAAAAAGAAAGGAAAAAGAAAATTAGAAATAAAAAAAATTCTATGTATAAAAATTCTATTTAATTTACATAAATTGATCACATTGAGTTGAGATCACTGTGCTCGACAGAATGCAATCAAATTTGGTAAATGGAGTGGAATTTTATGTATCTACATATGCACTTAAATGTACATATGTACAAAAATAAACGATATATAGTAAAATATTATGTATGTTACGTATAGTATATGAAAAGTTCTGTTATATTTTTAAAATATGTTATACGTGTAAAAAATTATACATGTATCTTGTATATACATACATAGTTTAAATACATATGTATACATAATTCATGAAATATATTTAAAAATTAAAATACTGTGGGTATTTTTCCTGAAAGTCATAACATTTTTATGTCTTTTAGTTATTTGCATACATGAATGAATACCCATATGAATAGTAACACTATATATATGTATGTATGTATAAGAAAAATGTGCTAGTTTTTAAGTATATACTGGTATATAATAGCCTCTAGTATATACAAGAGCAAAGATAAAATTTTATTATATATATATGTATATGTATATATATTTCGTAATACTTTCATCATTATTTTAAAAATAAAATTATGTATATATGGGGAAGAGAAAATCAAGATATAAAATAATATTATAAATTTAAGAAATTTATTATTATTCTCAGGGAATCCTAAATTAAAAATAGAATTTTTGCTGATATTTACAAAAATAAATTAAATATGTATATACTCGTACATATTATGTGCAAGTATATTATGTAGGCACATTTTCGTGTATAATAGTATACACAAATACATACTATATTACAAGCCTATATGTGTACCTAATGTATATAAAATAATTAATAACGTAGGTTCTTGTTATGTATATTCTATATACATAAATATATATATATATATATTACATATATATATATATATATATATATATATATCAAATAATTTGTTTATAATTTTAATTATTTTACAATGTTTCTTTATTATGTTATTCAAATTTTCAGAAATGTTGTTAATATTAAAACTTTGTAAAATATTAATTATTAGATTTGTCAAATTTATACATTTATATGAATATATGTATATATATATATATGTAAATAATTAAATTATATTACAAATTTATGCATAAGTGCATATAACATGATTGATTTTATTTTGATATTTTTTAAATTTTATATTTAAAAACAAAATTTATTTGTAATTCTAAGATGAACAAAATTTAAAGAAATTTCTACTATAAATTATTGATTTTTTGCATAGATTTAAAAGCATTTAGTAAGGTAGACCTTCAGAGCTATTTTATATGAAAAAAACGATGGTTTTTAAGATTTTATACCTTATTCTTTTCTCACTTGCATGATTGGCATATTGTAAAACCCTTTCATATTTTATCAATAGAAAACATTTAAAAGAAAAAAATTTACAATTACTAAAGTGCTATACAATTGAAAAATGCAAAATTGCTGTATTAATAAAAAATAAAAAAAATCTTAATCTTAAATAAAATATATGTTTTTACGCTAATCAAAATATTAATCACATTTAGTATACGCATTCTAAAAGTATGTCATTAAAACGTTGACATAAAGAAAATATATGCTTAAATAAAATACTTTTTGTACATCTTCTTAAGAAACAATTGAGTTTCTTTCCAAATTCAAAACGGTTTTATTTTTACATAACGTTATGTATGTATATATACAGAAAACTAGTTAAAAGTATCCGATGTTGCACATAAGCCAGCATATAACAATATAGATCACATAGACCTTTTCAAGCATATAATAATATCCGATTCGTTTCTAACACAAAAAGGACCACTTTAAACTGTTTCGGCCAATTTCGGGCAATTTCGGCCTAATTCTGATTTTTTCGGGCAATCTATAGAATTTATGGTTAATTGTTTTACAAGAAGGTATATCTATTTTTTTTAACAAACTATACAAAAACAAATGTAACACATTTCAAAAATTTCGTATAAATAGTCCAATTGCTTTCGGACAAACACTAATACACTGCTTTTTGTATAACATAGTTAAACATAAATGAATTTGTATATATTTGATATATTTCGAATAATCACAATCAAAAATTATAATAAACCTCTCGTTTTATGTTATTGCATTCCTATTTCACTATAGAATCTACGATGCTAATAAAAATATTTAATTTACAATCATAATTACTCTTAAGAATATTTAATTTAATAAATTTTTCAAAAGTTTTCCGAATATATTTCTTAAAAACTGCACCATCACACACAATAAATTTGACAAAAAATGTGGTTTTTGAATTTTCTTTTAATGTTTAAAAATAAAAAATCGTAAAATGTGTGTTTGAAAATAAAAATAAGAGAACAAAAAAAAAATTAAAAAAAAAAGTTAATATGAAATTTTTGTGGGAAAAAATTTGTAAAATTTGTGAAGAAATTTTGGTATAGAAGGAGAATTGAACAAAAACAAAATTCTAGAATATATATTTTGTTTTTAAAGAAAATTTAAATATTTATTTAATTAATTTAATATTATTGTGAATAAAATTAATTATAATACTTACTTGGATCCCAATTCGCTTCATTAGCCATTACTTCAGCGGTCATTATTTTACTAAAAATCTAACCTAATAGCACTGTAATCCCCCAGTTTATGTGTTATATGTGTATTTATTGATGTCACAAATATTTTTTGTTGAAAAAAAATAAAATAAAATTAAAAATATTTTTTTTAATTAATAATTAATAATTGTAGTTATAATTAATACTTAAACAAATTTTTTAAAAATTTAAATTCAAATAAAATATTTTAATAGCTGTTTTTTTGATCACTTATAAATTTCAGTGTTAATGGGAGTTGAATTTTCATTTTTTCACAATTATTAAATAAAATTTTTATTATAAATTTTATTCTAATTTTAATTAAATATTACCAATTTATGTAATAAATAGAATTTAAATATTATTTTAGAATTATACTAAAATTTTTTTTAATTAAACTATTTAATAAATTTTAAATTAAATCAAATGTGTATATACAAAAAAAAAAAAACTTTGACTAACACAAAATAATTTTGTGAGTGTAAAAATATTTTAAAGTAAAAATTGTATAAAAATATACCAGACGGTTTTGAAATATTAAAAATAAAGAGAACAAAAAATTTCCTAAAACAAGAGCAAAAAGAGAAACATAACAGTGAAAAGAAAATTTTTGAAAACGTTAAATGCTTTAATTAAGTGGCATAGGCCTGTTGACCATGCTTGATTCTATTTAGATTTTAAAGTTTTTAATTTAATTTAAAATACAATTAACAAACTCTTTTTTATCCGGTACCGTGCGACCGAGAATGTCCAAAACTGAAAAGCCTGTAATATTCAAATTAAACATAAAGAATATGAGTAATAGGGCAACTATTCTGATAAAATTTTGTTGTGGTTGTACTAGTTTTTACAATAGCCGCCTCGCAAGTTTAAGAACTATTTGATTATGGGCGGTAGATATGGGAGATATGGTTATATGAGGTATTATGGCCTATCGTTTTTCTCGTTCAATTTAATTTTTCTTTATGTTAAAATTGAAGTATAAATGACGGCCAATACTTAATTTTGAACTCAACGAAGTTATTATTTATTTAGTTTTTGCTATATTCTGGTTACTGTAAGCTTAAGTTTTTATAATAATGCAATGAAAAGTTGACAAGTGGATAAGACTGGCAAAGAAATGAAAAACAATTTAGTGAAAAAATGAAAAATTTATCGATTATCTGCGGACATAAACCTAGGATGTTTGCATTATTGTTATTCAATTCAATAAAAAATACAAAATTTTCCAATCTTTAAATGTTTTAAATGCAAATTTTTTGTGTATAAATTTTTTGTGTATGTTATAAATGTTTATTATTTATATTTGTTTATTTATAAATACATACATATGTATATAATATTTTGTTTAATTTTCGGTTCTTTTTGACTAAAAGTAACGTGCTTTAGAAAAATTTGGCATTTTACCAATATAATTTCTATAATATTATGAATATGTCAAATTAGTATAATATGAAAACTGAAATTGAAATAAATAAATTTAAATATAAAACAGGTAAATTAAAAATATTTTAAAATTAAGTAAAATTGTTTATTTTTTAAATCTACATATACGTTATTACATACATACATAAATTTATTTAGTAAAATATTAAAATTTTACATAAAATTTTTAATATAATTTCTTAAATAAATATTTATGCATGTGTACATATATTAGTATTTCTATTTCATGTTTAAGTGGGAAATTTAAAAATGTTTAAACAGAGGCGGATGGGCTAAACCGTTTGGGCTAAACTGCTGAGACAAGATTTTTGAGATTAATCTTGGACTCTAAGCTAGACTGGGTGTTTAATGTCAGTGGGCGAGTGAAGACAGCAACTACTACAAGAGAACCATTGCGAAGAGCCACGCATGATGAGACCCGTATTCATGTGCGTAGGATGAACATGAGCAAGTCCATCATCTTAAATTAGCAAACAAAGCTAAAAGCATGACATTGATGTGCATGGGAAGCGTTACGTTCAACTCCTATACTGACTCTTGAGGTGCTTTTTAAACTTCTTCTAACTGATATTCTGGAAACGCAAATTCCGGCAGGATCGCTTATGCGGCAGAGAAATGCATCACAGAAGTTCGGCAGGCCTGCGGAGACTCTCATCAAGGCAAACCTGGGAGAACAAAGGCAACATATAAGACGGTTCTTCACATTTCTACCGGGATGAATTCGAGATAAATAAATGTATCGACATACGGACCTGGCAAATGTACGAAATTTATAAAGGACTCGGGCTCCCATTTAAGCCAACCCAAAATCTAGCTTAAATGGGAACATTTTAATAAAGCTGTTAACTTTTCCTAATTAAAATTATTTAAATTATACATTGTTGATGCTTTTATAGTACTACTTATTGTTTTTCTGATTTTCAGTAAATTCATTCACTACTTTTATTTGAATTTAATTATCTCACTTATTCGAAATTAATAGCATATGTATTTACAAAAAAATATGTCACACTTATTGCTCGGAATTGAATACTTAAATCAAATATTTTGAACGCCCAATCAATTCAAATTCGATAAACGTACAAATTTCAATTTTATTTTTTTGTAATATTTTATATTTGTAAAAAATATTTTTTGTTGTTTCATTTTAAAACAAACATTATAAGTGTACATAAGATATATATATGTACATACAAATATAACAGTATTTTTTTATCAATTTCAAAAAATAATTCAATTTTTTTCTTTTTTTTTTTTAGAAAATTATGACAAAATATTGACTAAAACTATTGAATTTGGTATAAACTCGTGCATATATACTAAATTATAAGTAGCTATATAATTTTTGGATGATTGAGTAATATATATACATGTGTATATATATATATATATATGTATATAATGATTTTATACATATAATAATAATAGGGAGGCAGTGTATGTATACATGTTTATGAAAGACAAAAAAAAAAAAGTTTTGTTTGTTTGCCAAAAGGAGATGACATTGATTAAGATAATAAACGAATAAGATTGGAAAAGTTTGTATATATACATATATATATATATATATATATATATATATATATAAATATATACATATATATATATATATATACATATATATATATATATATACATATATATATATATATACCAAAAGAAAGTTTTCATTATATTTTGCTTTTAAAAACTATACTACTTATTTACTATAGGTATACTATAAGGTATATAGAAACAAAATTCAACTTTCATAACATTTAAGTTGAGAGAGACTTCATAAAGCTATATTATACAGTTGTTATACAACATATACGCATATTTATATTTTATAGTATAAGAGTATATACGTACATATAGTTTATTTTATGCGACTTTGAAACTTTTTTAGTTTTTCCGAAAAACTTTCAAATTTTTATGAAGAAAATATTAATATTTTGTACATTATGTGTACAAGTTTAAATGACAGTAAAATTGTGTATACTCAACCCAGTAAGTTAAAAACACAATATTAAAAAAAAAATTGTGTATACAATGTTTAATGAATATAATCTTGAGATAGCCTTCAATATAATATTCTGAATTTGTAAGGAATTTTTTAAAGTTTTTAAGTTAATTTTTGTTTTTATAATTTCCTGATAAAAAACTTTAATATATCTTTATAGTTATTAATTTTTTGACAATAATAACCATGAGACGTACATACATATAGAGCGTATGTATGTGACCATTCACTTGGCCACTAATGTTCTAATGGAATTGTGAGTAGTTTTCATATAAATATAGCGGAAGTGATAATGAAGAGCAGAAATTATTTTCCTGTTTATTATTTTATAATTTTGACACATCTTCGCATGCGATTTTTTTGTAGTTGTCAATGCCAAATTGACGTAGTTTGTATTATCATTCTACAATATAGAGGGATTGATGTCAGAGTAATTCCTAAGAATAGTTAAATATGAATATGAATATTTTACAGATATGATATAGATAATTTTTTGTATGCTGCACCTTATATCGAATGTGCCTTTGGAGGACAATATTAAATATGTATAACAAAACAAGTGTAGTTCACAAAATTTCGGTCGAAATGTGCGAAAAAATTGATTAAAATTAGACGGTTCAAATGAATTAGTTATAGAACGTAATCGTGGTCACAAAACATTTATATAAAATTATATTTAAAAAGCAATAATAATAATAGCTCATAAATTAGCTCACATTATATGGTTTCTATAATTATAACCTAAAAAAAACCGAATAAACGAAATCGAAATTGAATGTGCTATACTTAACATATCTCTAGGCTATTTTCGAACTTATAATTTTTTCACAAGAGAAAAAAATGAATTTTGACTATAAGGAAGCTATAAAATAGAAGCAAAAATAAATTTCTTATACCGTGTCATGAAACTTTTTAAAAATTTAAATTACTCCTTAATGTTTATTTTAAAAATTTATAGCTGTTTTTTTTTTTAATATCTTTTCTATGTACAAATTTTAATTAAAATTTTCAAATAAATTCCAATTTTTTTTTTTTCATTTCTAACACAAATGATGATTCACTTAGTAAAAATTCGACAAATTCCATAGATTTTATTTTAGTTATAAATTTCATTTTAGTCTGGGTTTGCTGGGTATTAGTGCTACATACTATATACTATACTGCAACATTTTATTTAAAAGTTTTTCAAGAATTTGTTTTTTTTTTTTTAAAACAAGAGTGCAATTTTAACAAAAATGCTTTTACATATAAAGTAAAATATAATAAGCGTATATCATCTCTCTCTCTCTTATTTTTAACTACCACTATTCACTTAAGATGGTATATATACATGTTATATATACATACATACATACGTATAATATTTACAAAAGCCATTTATTCAACAATTAACCCAAATGACAAAACTTTTGTGGAAATAATTTTTAAAATAGTATTTAGAACGTATGAAATGAAAATTTGTGTATTGTCATATTTTGTAATAATAATTTTTTTTTAAAATAGAATTTAAAACGAAAATAAGCCTTATTTAAGTATGTATATTTAGTATAGAGATTTAGTTCTATATGACAAAATGTTTAAAAATTT